TTATCATTGCAAATGCATAGGTCTGAATTTACAGGAGCTCTTAGATATTTTTGCTGTAACTTAGTTTGAAGCTGTTCAGTCGCTCTGAGACAGGCTTGGGAGTCAGTATAGATTGAATCTCAGCAGAATGGCATAACCCTGGAGAGCTTACTTAGCTCCTTGAGGATTTGCTTAATCTCAGTGGTGGACCATGTCCTCGGCATGCTCCAGGGCCTGGGTTCAATTCCTAGTACCAATAAGAGCACAAACAACCTGATACATTCCGTACACCTACTTAACATTCAGCAAATGGGGTCTATAAAGCAGCTATGTAAACGGGGTCTAAAGAAAGTTATAAAAATTGTTCAGTAGATTTAGATTTTTTATATCCTGAGGGACTGAGGAAATTGAGTTTATCCCAAAAGAGTCTCAGTTGAGATGTTCGAAAAACAATTTTGGAGATGTTGTCAAATTTTCCAGGCATAACGAAGGTGGAATGTGGGGCTATAGACTGAGAATCTTGACTTCAGTGTGCAGTAAAATTTTGAAATAGAGAATTAAGCAGATGGTTAGTGATCATTTAGTAAAGACTGTAATGGTTGCTAGGAGCTAACATGAGTTTACTCAGAACAAATCTTCCCAAACATCCCATTTCCCTTTTAAGCAGGCCTGGTGGGCGTGCAGCCTGGGGAGCGTCCTTGTGGATGGGGAGGTAAGCTCCGGCTGGACGGTAGGACTGTCGGGTTTCCAGCTAGGCAGCAAGGCAAGTCAGCTGAGGAGTGTCACCTGTCTTGGTGGGGTCTCTGGTGGGATGTTTCGAAGCTCTGACCTGTAACCATCCCCTGTGACATTGTACTCAGGGCTGCTGCAAAGATACATAGGGGATGGGTGTGTACCGCGTGTGCAGATGGCCCAGTGTTGGGAGGGATAAAAACATCACAGGTGAGCAAATCAAGATTCAGAATTCTGCTGATGTCTGAAGCATGGTGTGGAACCCGAAGACTAAATTTAACAAAGCTGAGGAGAGAGAGACAGCTCAAAAGATTAAGTGTGCAACTGTTATCACCACCTCTTTTCTCCATCACTTTTCTCCCCGTTTTGGACAACACCAGCAGACAGGGGCTGATGAGACACTTTTTCTGATTAGTCTTTTTGAACTTGTAACCATTCCTTTTGCTTCTGAATTTCGCTTCTCTGGTTCCCTTGGACACCCTGTGACCTCATCTGTCATGATGTTGAAGAATAAGAAGAGAAACCTTGTTTGGTAGAAATTCAAGTAAAAATGATCTGGTGATTTAATTAACTCTGAGCTCAGTATTATTCATTCATTCATTCAACAAACACATATCAGGGCTGGGGATTTAGCTCAATGGTTCCGCCACCTGCCTCACAAGCACAAGGACCCGAGTTCGATCTTGAGTACTGAGAAAAACAAACAAACAAAACAACATGTATCAAATGTGCTACCTGCTATGCTCTTTTTGGCATTAGGGAGACATAGTGATCAAAACCATCAAAAATCCCTGCCTGCATAGAGGTTATATATTCTTAGGTGCAACAATTATGCAGCGGCTTAAAGAAAAGAAACTAGTCTTAGGCTTTATTAGCAGAAGCTCCCTATCCAGGTGGTTCTACTCTGCTGCTTGTTCCCAGTGCCCGATGCTGCGTTTTACATTGGGATCACTTTCGGTGCTGAGTACCGGAGTCTGGAGAAATGAGTGGCACTCGAGTGGCAAGACGAATAGCAGCCCTATTGCGAGGCAACAGCGTTAGGAAGAGATGACAGAGACGAGGCGTTGTGAACCTCGCGTAGCTGCAGGAAGACAGGGTGAGCTGTTCTTCATCGCTACCACGAGTGACTGCTGATTACCAGGGGGTCATTTATGGTGAGTACAAGACAGACTTCCGGGGAGGGTTCTAGCTGCAGCCTGTGTGAGCTGACGGGGGCGGGCTGTCGTGTGTCCACTGTATTCTCGGGGCTGAGGGTGAAAATGCATTCACGTGCCTGGCACGTGTCGGGGGCATGAATGTTGTGGTGAGCACTCGTGGGGACTAGATCCTGCCCCAGAGCTAGAAATTCATGGATTCCTATGGCATTTTTGTGGAAACAATCTGTGTGCCAAAATAATGTAAAAATTTTAAGCTCGGTTTTTGTATATCGTAAAGGATCTGAGGGTGGAAAAATGTAGCTAGAAACAGATGTGGGAGGCTGCAATGTTTTCTAGAACAGCTCCAATTAATTAAGTCACTTTTCTTAAGGGATGTTGAAGAGTCCATTTTAGGAGCGTTAAACATTTTGAAATATGCTCATTCAGACGTTACTTTTATCCTAGTTCAACATTTATCGCTTTCTTGAGACTGTCCCCAAATTCTGAGCCACACAGGCCCCTGCTCTGATTGATCTTGAAGGCAGTTTCAGGTCCAGGATGTAGCTCAGTGGTAGGAGTCTCGCCTCCCATGCCTGAAGCCCTGTGCGCAATTCCCAGTGTTGTTAAAAAAGTAAACAAAAGTCAAAAGAAAAAGACAATTCCATAGTGTTTAGCGTTTAACTTTTTCTGATTGCTTCATGGCTTTTCCATCTAAATGATAAGCTTCTTGAGGGTAAGATGTTACATTTCCTTGTAACACACAGCAGAAACTCAGTAGATGACCACGCTTGATGGTTTAACGCCTCAATACATCGTGTCATCATACGTCATACATCAGGGATAATTAATAAAATAGCATCCTTCAAGCTATTGCAGCGCCTCTATTTGGGATTGGCCCTGCCATCTGCAGTTCTGAGGGGTGCTCCACTGGACGGGAGTGGGTTTCTAGTCAGCGCTCGTGTAAGACCTGCGGGTTGGGAGGCTTTGCTGTATCCCTGGGCTTGTGGTTGCATTCCTCAGAATCTGCCATTTTGGCTTGGCAAGTGCTTTGTATACAGTGTGATTCTTTGCAGAAAATCGAAACTGTATTCTCAATTAAATGACTGAACTCTAGGGTGCAGACCGCTTTCTTGGCTCATCCTCCCAGGGAAGTTGGGCACTGATATCTAATCCCATTTCAGAGTTTGATCGACTGATTCTTGTAACTGGGGTGACCAGCGGCAGCACGTGAACCTATAGACAGCCCGGTTACATTATGGATTTCCGCTAAGCAGCGCAATGAGTGGGCCGTACTTAGACTAAACTCTCTTTGCTATTTACCTGGAATTCAGCCTGAATTCCATCTAGCCACACTTCCGTGTCATCCTTCCCCTAATTTTCCTATAAATCTGAGCTCCCAGTTAACTCCCAGATTTGTTTGACTGAATGAGAATATTTGTGTCCATGTGAATGATTCTCATAGCAAATATTTTAGAATTCGCAGAAATGGATGATTCCACCCGTGTACCTTTTGTGGTCGTGCTCTTTCATTTATACACAATAACGATAATGCTGCAAACGTCCAGGATGTAGCAGTCCCCAGTTACGACCTCTTAGTTTCCTTGGTGGCGTAGCTTATTTGACAAACTGATTCCATTTATTGCTGATCTTCACTAGTTCAGGTTGGGCAGTCACCACTGCCGAAAGTACACAGTCTGTGCTCTGCGCAGGAATCGGGTAAAGAGTGAATTTAGTGTAATTATTTCCGGCCCAGCAAAACAACTGCATTAGCTAATGAGAGCTGCGGAAATCAAAGCAAAGCACTGCCACTTTTAGTTAATTATCTTGCTCTCTTGTTTTAACTCAGAGGCAGGAATATTTTAGATTGTTCCACCTCGTGCACTTCCTTTGGAGAGGAAGACATTTCCTACTTGGCAGTGCTGCCTCCATTTCCTCGAAGGAATTGTGGGATGCTCTTTGCTGTTTAGTGACAACAGCCCTTCGGTATCATTCCTTCATTCACTCGTTCATTCAGCAGACCCTTATTAAACAGATCTGTGCTAGGCACGAAGGGAAAAACAACACGATTCCTGCAGCTTCTATGTTCAAGAGGTTTGCAAGAATCGGCATGTTCATTTAGATGGCTCAGCACTCATGTCAGTGAAGGACCTGTGGTAAGAGCTAATTAGCTCCTGGAGTATTGAAATCATTCTCCTCTCAAATGTGTTAAATAAATCGCATGCCTTGCGCTCTGCGCAGAAACTGCTCTTACTCGATAGTTGGGGTAGGGTTCGGCTCCTTCCTTCTCTGTGGCTGCTTCTGCTACTCAGAGCACGGTCCTCAGCCTGGCAGCATTTGTACCCCTGGGAGCTGGGGAGCAGGGCAGACGCTCGGGCCACCTGTGTTCGTTGTTGTTACTCAGGCTTTTCCCTCCAGGCCTGCTGGATCAGAATGCGCTGGAGAAGTTGGAGAAGCCCTGGTCGAACACAGCCTTTCAGCCACTCGGCTTTGTTTGCGCAGATCTTGTGCGGATCGTGGTAGAGTAGTCTCCCGGGCTCTGCCCTCTGAGGTTCTGACGCCACATTACCCAGGTGGGGCCCTAGAATCTGCATTTCCACCGGGCTCCTAGGAGATGCGGGAGCTGCCTGCTGCTTCGAGTGGCACTGGTCTAGTTTGCTTGGGAAACTGAATTGACATTCGGTGGCAGAGAAGAATCCCAGTGAGGGGGTCCGTGAACAGGAGCACAGACCCGTCCCCCAGGCCACGTGGCCTGTCATGGGAGGTGGATGTTCTCGCGGCGGGCAGTGCAGACCAGTCTGTAGTGGCCACTGGACAGCAGCACCGAGGGGGAGCCGGGGGCTCAGCCATTTGGGGTGGATCCTGCAAGATAATAGGACATGGAGAGATTTGGGCTCTGACACATAAAACAGTAGTTAGTTGGCTGCTGCTGAATTGCAGGCTGCAGAACCTTGGGAATCAGGAAGAACCGAGATCAAGAGAAGAACATTAAGGAACAAGTCTGGAAAAAGTGGGGACAAGATTGTAATGAGTCTCACATATCTTGTTAAGGAGTTTACAGTCTGTCTTATAACTTCTTGCCATAATGACTTGTCTTGGGGAGTTTTCATGTTTAATTGTATTTACCTCTGTGTTATGCTTTCTTTTTTCTTTCAGGATTAAGCATGAAAATATCGTTGCCCTGGAAGACATTTATGAAAGCCCAAATCACTTGTACCTGGTCATGCAGCTGTAAGTACCTCGTTTAATTGATGAGCATCAGACGGGGTTGTAAATCCCAGTGCCTATGGGGCAGTGAGCCAGAGGAGGCAGCGGGGAGTGGGGGGGTCTGTGGGCGCGGGGGGTGGTGGTGG